AAAATAAAAAAAAAAATAAAAATATATAATTTAATTTATTTACAAGTATTTCAAAAAAAAAAAAAATTAAAATCAATATAAATTTGTTCATAAAAAAATATTTAAATACTTTATAATTAAAAAAAAAAAAAAAATTTTTAGTAACACGCGATTATTGATCAATCACCTGATTTGAATTACTGCATGTGTCCAAACTCTAACGAAAAAGAGACTATTAATGTCTTTCCTCCATTTTTCTTTGTCTACTTTGAATCTGAAGACAAAAAATCAGAAATCCATGGCAGAACAATCGTCGCAGACTGTTGTTGATCAAAACGTTCTTACCGCCGCAAATACTGCTCCTACTTCCACTCCTACTGTAGCAACTACACATATCCAAACACAACAACAACTGATACAACAACAACAAAATCAAGCTTTTATGACAAAGGTTAATGAATATAATGTTTGCTAGTCATTTTACTTTTAAAAATTTAAAGATTATTTTAAAATTTTATTTAATTTTAATGCCAATGCATACTATTTAACTTTTTGGTTACTTTAGTTCTGGAGTGACCAATTACTACTAGCTGAGCGGTTCGAAAGCGACTTTAAGAATCACCCTTTGCCTTTGGCCAGAATCAAAAAAGTCATGAAGAGTGATCAGGACGTTAAGGTGCATATAAATTTTGTTGCATTGATTCCTATCGTAGATATGTACCAAAATTAAATGTCTCTACCTATATTGTTGCATTTCGAAATAATCTTTTAATTGGTGTTATAAGATGATCAGTGCTGAGGTTGGTGTAACTTTCAAAGATTTCTCGACTGATTACATTTTTAGAAAAATATCGACTATAACTTTACTTAATTCAAATACAGGCACCCATTTTGTTTTCTAAGGCGTGCGAAATTTTTATATCTGAAATCACAATGCGAGCGTGGATTCATGCGGAAGAAAATAAACGCCGTACGTTACAACGTAGCGACGTAGCCTCAGCTGTTAGTAGATCAGACCAATTTGATTTCTTGATCGATATTGTTCCAAGGGATGAGTTACCTAAACCTGTTAACAGAAGGCCAAAAGATGAATCTGTAAGAATAAATATTTATTTAACTACTGCTTGTTATTACTATTATATTCACAATTACTTAGAAACATTCGAACCATGATTTTATTTAATATAATCAGTCAACGGATCCAATTTTCACAGATCAAAATAGTTTGGCTTATTTTCAATCTGGAATTCCATATTCAGCAGACCCCACCACCGCCACTTACTATCAACAGGTGACCCCTTAAGTCTTGTTCAATCTTTATCAAAATTTGATAATGACACGGATGCTGTTTTCAGATCCAAGAACATCAAATTCAACTTCATGAACAAATTCGTCGTCAACACCAAGAACTTAATAGACAAACTGACACAACTCCACAAACTGTAACAAATCAACAAGAACAACTTCAATTATCTCCTGAACAATTACAGAAAATACAATCTTCCGTTGCAAATTCTACACCTTCAGATGATTCAGTAATAGAAGATCAAATTCAAGATACAGTTAATATTATGAATAGTGTAGTACATTCAAAGCAACAAGAAAAATCACAATCTAAGACTTCACGGAAAATGCCTTCAAAGAAAAAAAAATAGTTAAAGATATCTCGTATTCATAGAGGTCTGTTGTAAATATTATGTTCTTTTATATATATACAGTATTTGTTGAAAAATGAATAATTGTTAAAGCTATAGAAATTAATGATTCTGGTTTTCAATATTGTATTTTAATGATTAAACTATATTATACGTTTTAATAAATTTATTAATTAATAAAAAAAATTTTGATTAAATGAAAAGATTAAATAAATTAAATAAGATCATTGTATTTAAAATCAAATAGTTATTATTTAATCTAGTAAACAATATTTACTTTAATTATTGTAAAACTAATAATTAATTTTGATTTTTTTTTTAATTTTCTTATTACTCTTTGTTTTTTTTTTTTTTTAAGCCCTCTGTTAAACTAGGTACTGTATGTGTGCTTTATTAAATGTTTTATATACTTTACATTAAAAATATATCACTAAAGCTAAATTACTATCTAACTCACTTATCATTATTTTGAAATTTATTAAAACTCTAAGTATAACTTTGGAAATGATTTATTGCTCCATTAGTAGTTCAGGCAAAAACTCTTTGAATTGCTAACTTTATTGTTTGCAAGTCACTACTGCAGATCACTATATAATATTCTGACAAAGCTCAAAATCCAATTACTTCATCCCATATTTTACTCTTTTTGTTAAAATTTCTTGGAGACTTTCATTATTTTCTAGATTTCCTTCTTCTGATAATAGTTCTTTTTTCTTGAAGGTCATAGTTTTCTGACCTGTAAAACTTAAAGGTCATTTAGTCTTGTCTACTCTACTGATTCCTTATAACTGTTTCTATTCAATTATTTTTTCATATTTCTTATTTCAAATTCTTTTTTAGACTTGATTACAAACTCTTTTTTGCATATTTAATATCTATCTTCTCACTTATTTTCCTATACATTTTCCATGGTATCTTAGGTCTGCCATTTCTAGAATGAGACTATTTTTTATTAGACTAATACAAAAACTTAAAGTATCTTGACTAGTTTTAAAAGTCTGTTCCACTAGTCTAGAGATTTACTTGTCAAGCTCTTCAAGTTCTTCTTGATCATTAGTAATCAACCTGATACTTTTTTTTACAACTTCTCTTTTTCTTTCTTGCAGGAGCTCTTTAAAGTTTCTAGTGATTCCATCTACTCCTTTATTTTATACTTATAGTTGATCTTTGTAGATTGAATATTCTCACAAGTGTTTTATAGTTTCTTCTTGTTAATTATATGTAATATATTTTACTTGCTTGTATAGATCAGGTTTTCTTATGGCTAATTTACTTAATGTTGATAGCTTATCATTGATTAGTTTGATGAGAAAGCTTCTATATTATGATTTTTTGAAAAATATATTTTATGTATGTTCATTTTTTATTTTTTCTTATATCAGATTTCATATATGAAGTTAGCATTTTGAAATTTGATAACTCTATTTTTTCTCTGTTTTGTTTTGCTATATTTATTAATGGGTTATTGTTTTGTTGTTAATATTTTTAACAAATTGACTGATTGGATCATTTAAGGACTTGTCTTATCATTTAATTTCTATGATAATCTTATATAAGATGAGATCTTTCCATTCAATTGATAGAAGTTTTAGGGTTTCTTTAGCAAAGACATTTGCTTTTTCATTATATGAGTTATTGGAGTATACTTTAACTTTGATAAGCTTTAGATCTATATTTTTTTTCTTTATTAGCTCTACCATTCATATCCAAAGAAACCAATTTTTCTTATTTAGTCATCTTTTATATATTCTTTTTAGATTTTCTTTTCTTATTGTTTTTCATTTAAAAATACAGGCTTGACTATCTGTATAAATCTCAACTATACTATTAATAGAAACTATCAAAAGTAAAGATAGATTCCTAAAGGAAGAGGCAAGAACAAAAGTCAAATGTCTCTTACTAGGAAACATTAAAATTTTTAAATTAATATCTATAAAAAAACTATTTACAATTATTCTTCATTATTCAAATTATTGATTTATAGCATTTTTTAATTTTTGTTTCTATTAAAATGAAGAGCTATGAATTTTGTCTCTCAAAAAAAAAAATAAGTGTTTTATATGCTAAATACTTTAGAAACTTATCATTAATCAGGAGTATCATTACAATTGTTACCAATTCAGTCCTTATAAATAAGAACCATTTGTTTCTTCTATTTGAAATTTGTTTTCTCTTCCTGTTTTTTTTATCTAAATCCAAGTAGCTCCCATTTTCATTTTTTCTTTTTCATAGTTAATCAGGATCCATAAAAATAGAAGATTAATTTTTCTTTGAATCCAAGATTGTATTGAAGTATTTTTATTAGATAGTCTTAATATACTTCTTTTTTAATATTTTTTCTAATAATAGTTTCTTCTCAGGTTTTAATATCTATATATATAATTTACTTTGTCATTTTGAAACATAAAAGGGCTTTGATTATTGTAAATCACTTCTTGCACTCTTCCTTTTTTCCAGTGTTGTCTTGAAATTGAGGATTTTTAGTTTTATATTCTTCTAATAGATTTTCTTATATTAAGGTATAGTACTAAATAAAATTTTTCTATATCTCTTTTTAAAATACAATCACTATTTTGTATTGTATCTTTGAGCATTCAAAACATTTTTGCAAACTAGTTTCTTGATTATTATTTGTATTATAACAAGTAAAATGTTCTACTATTACTTTATATTCCTTTTTTTCTTGTCTTAGTTTTCTCCAAATTATTGATTTCTTTCACTTCTTATTACTATTTATAGTTTTTGTCACTTATCTTAATCAGGTCTTATTTTGACATATTCTAGTTCCTACTTTGTATAATTATTCTTTCAAAATCTTGTAAGCTGCTTTAACTATTTATTTATAAGATTTATAGCTATAGTTTGAAACCATTTTGGGATAGGTCCTTTACTTGTATTTTGTAAAAGTTGAAATATTTGCCAGTCTTTAATTTTTTTTAATTCTTGATCTATTATTTGATCCAAATACATTAATTTATTGTTTCTAAATAATGGAATAGCTTTTTTATATAAGGTGTTCTCTGATCAAACTGTTTCCTTTACTTCATTCAAAGATGTCTTGCCATTTTCAATTTTAAAAGGTTATTTTTATATCTTTTACCAATTTGATTATTTTAAGTATAAAGTTACTGTACCTTTATCTGATAAGTAATTTAGTGACTTGCAGATCAATAGATTAAGTGACTTCAAATTTTTAATCTGTGTTTGTTTAAGTTTAATAATTTTTATGATCTCTGCTAGTCCTAGATCATTGAGTCTATTACATAGTCCTGTTACTTGACTTTCTCATTGTAACATTCAAATACTCTTCAAATTGTAAATCTTTGAGTGATTAATTATGCTATTATGTATGGATCTGCATAAAATACACTTGTTCTTAAACAGTTTTCTGTATACTGTTGTTAAAATGTTATATATTTTTCAAGACAATATGCTATATTGTATTTTAAATCCTATTCTAGATATTAATATTCTGTTTAGAATATAAAGAGCTTGTTTGTTTATTATCTTTTTTTTTAAGGGCTCTAGTTACTAAGTTGACTTCTTTAAGTACTCATTCTTTAAGCTCAATTATAGTTTTTTGATTGCTAGTTTATATTTCTAGAAATCTGACTATCAAGTTCTTTGACCATTTTTTTATTAGTACCTACTTGAACTTCTTCTGGGTAGCAATTAGAATTATTAATAGTTACCAAGACTGATTTGTTAATATTGATTTGAGAGTTATTTGCTTTATAGAAAATTTTTGCAGTCTTCAAAATTTTTTTCATATTCTTCTTGAATTTAGCTATCTATATTATATTATTTATAAAAGCTATAGCTGCGTGTTTTGATTTTAATCTTTTTATAGTATATTCTTTTAGATTTGGATTCCAGGTGACTAACATCTTGTATTCTCTTTATATATCATTTTGGATTTTGCAAAGAAGCAGTTCATAGAAAATTCTTCATAATAGAGATGAGATAGTTTCTCCTTAATCAATTTCATCTCCTGCTACTATTGATTCTAAGAAATCATTTTTAAATATGACCTGAAATTCTCTATTTTGAAATAGGTCCATTATGATCTTTATAAAATTTTTTGAAGCTTTAATTCTTTTTATTATTTTTATCAGTATTTCTAGACTAATAATATCATATGCTTTTGCTATATTTTGAAAAAGTATCTATTATCTCTTTTTGTTTTCTCTAGTATCTTTACAAATGTTATTGAAAATTTGAATTGATTCTGCTATATTTTCTCCTGATAGTTTTGCAAAATTGGGTTCTTTATGAATATTATTGTTTTTATAAATATTGCTTATTTTATTGGTGAATACTTTGGTGAAATACTTTTTTGTAACTTTTAATAGGACAATAGGTCTGATGTTTAAGAGTTCACAATCTCAGAGTTTAGGCTTAGCTATAGAATATATTGAATATATTATAGCTTTGTTTCCAATATTTCAAAGTAATTTCCTATCTTAAAAAATTATTTGGAATTCTTTCAAGAATTCTTTTTCTTCCTGGCTTAATCTTTTTAGTATCTTATAATTAATCTATGATCTTCCTGGAATTTTGTTATTTGAAAGTATACTTAATGGTTCACTTAGTTCTTCTTGTGAAATTGGTTTGAATAATTCATTATACCAAGCTTCTTGGATATATTCTCTAGGTTTGTACTCTTTTTTTTAATCTTTCAGTAAGCTGTCATAATTGGTTTTTCTTTTTTTGAAGACTTTCTAATAGTAATATCTTATTTCCTTCTCGATTTCATTTTTTTGTGTTATAATGTATTCATTGTCATCTTGCTTGATCTTAACCCTATCAATTACTATTCTATTTCTAGCATAATTGATTAAGAAACTAACTATTTATCTCTAATTGTTTCTTAAATTAGT